TTTAATGTCTTCATGTTTCCAAACGTTTCTGTTTTTCTGTGAAAAAAACTGTTTTCATACAGCGATAGCTGGACGCTTTTGTCCATTTCCCCATACGACTTTCTGCGTGAGAGCGCCCTCCGGCTTCGAGTGTGAATGAAACACACACTGCATGAGTGTTTAGCGCTCCGCGATGTTAATCTCGTCTTAATCTGGGTCCGAATAAAACATCAGATCATGCACAGACTATACTGTCTCTTTGAATTTAAATCTATATTTATTCACACCAGCTCTTGAAAACCTCTATGCGAACACACTTGCCCGAAAAAGTGCGGGGGACGAATTTACGTGATATTAAAAGTGGGGGGGACACGTCCCCCACGTCCCCCGCGTAATCTACGCCCCTGGTTCCAAGAAATGCTGTCCCTAAACCCATTCCAGAGAGTGAGAGGTCCGACTCAGCTACGGAGAAGGAAGGCTCTAAGTTATCTCCTGGGAGTCGAGAGCTTGCTCTAGCCCCGGACCTGAGTCGAAAGATGGTTCTAACCCCTGACCAGAGTCAGGAGATGGCTACAAATCCCGAGGTCTACCCTGAGAATGTTTCAAGTCCTGAGTCTAGCATGGAGAGGGCTTCCGTTCCCAAGCACCGTCTGGGAAGCTTTAATATCTGAGCACAGTTCAGTGCCGACTTCAGCCTCGGAACACAGAACCATGTCCGCTCTCATCCCAGAGCTCAACCAGGATCCCTCTCTCAGCCAATCTCCTGATCATGCCCTAAAATTAAGCAAAGAATCCACTCAAGTTCATAAGTTCCCCCCAGAGCTGGCTCCTGACCTTGAATCTGCTCCAGAGCCTGTTCCAGTTCACGAATTAGTTCTAATGATGACGTCTTTCCTGAAGGCCAAGGTGGCTGTTCGGGAACCCCTTGAATGTCCTGCCATGGCCAGGGAGGCCGTCTGTGAACCTGCTGCCTACCCTGTCACAGTTATAGTGGCCGTTAGTAATCTGTCTGTGCCCTATGTTCCAGTTATGCCTGCTCCTCCCTGGTGGACCTTGGCTCTGTCTGCCCCGCCCTGGTGGGCGTCAATGCCATCCTGGTGGGCTTCGCTTCATCTGCTCCGCCCTGGCTGGATTCCTGCTCTGCCGGCTTTGCCTTCCTTCCCTGGACCTCTGGTGCATGGAAATGGCCCTCCGTTCCGCCTCTGCTCCACCTCTCTCCTGGACTGTGTGGTTGTTGGAGCGTCTGGAAGCTGCTCTTTC